ATAAAAAATAGGGACTCATCAGAAGTGTTGAAAGGTGGGGAGGGAGGCTTCAAACCATTCAGAGGAACCAACTCAAATCCACCTCAGGCTGTGCACTCAGCAGCTTAGCCCAATGCACCAGGTCATCTGAAGAGACTCACGCACCACCAACTGAAGAGTCCCATTTCTGAACTCCCCACTGTGTTTCCCTGATGGGGGTGGGCACACAGGGGATTTATCCCAGAGGCAATTATTTGCTGACTGTGGGCTGAAGTAGAGAAAAAAGCATTACATTCTCAAACCTCAACATCCTTACCAACAATGCTTTCCAACTGCCTCAAAGCTCTCCTAAATGAGAACATAGTTCGTACTGAACAAGGGCCTATGACTATGAAGAATGTCACCAACCTCCCCTCGGAGTCCGCAAGAGCTCAGCCAAAACACAAGTGCAGCACCCAGCTCTTCCGGCCCTGCACCTGCTGCCTCGGACTCCCCAGGCTGAGCCCAGGCCCCTGCCTTCTGAAAGTGCTCCCCAGGTGACTCAGACGCACATACCCTACAAGAACCAGATGCTCTATGACACATGGCATTTAACTAAGGCTCCCTGCCAGGCCCTCCCCTGTGTACATACAACTATGTAGGGCACATAAAAGAGGATGTTTGAGGAACTGATACACAAACTGCATCAGCCAAAAGCTGCAGCCCCGAAAAGAAGTATGTATGATAGACTTATTTCAATCCCTAGATCCCAAATCTGACAATGCATCAGAGCCACTTGGGAACATTTTTAGAAAGTCCTGCCTGGTGACCCCACACTGGACTTCCTGAGTCAGCATCTTCACCACTGGGGGCTCCCGGTGATGCCACATAATCAGTCTGTTGGTGGACAAGCTTTGCTCTAGTCTGTGCTCATTGCCAAGGAAGTACAGTGTGTGAGGGCAGCAACTTAAACAATAATTGCCAGCAGATGAAAACAGATTACAAGCTTGGGGAATGAGTTTAAGTCAAATGATAAATACTAACCCTAGTTCTGCCAGCAAGAAGAGACAAAAAGTCTCTGGAAGTGCATCTTCTCACTCAGGATGCAACCCGTCTATACTCCACAGCCTGGCCAAGCAGTGCTGAACACTACCAGATAAAGAGCCAAGAGTCAGTGACATTTGTTTTACTATGTCGATTGGCAAATACCTAGCATGAATGTTGCTAGTTCCCCACTGTGCATCACTAAGGAACTACATACAGCATTCTTTCCCAGCCCACCCAAACAGAACCTAGGAGCCCCCTGAATAGACTACTACACCCCTGAGATCAGAATTGGCTGGAGAGTGAAGCACACCTGCCCTCTCTGTTCTCAGCCTCTCTGTACATTGTGACATCACATCAATCTCCAAGACAATCCAAATGAGACCCTTGAGGAACTAGTGTGCCTCCAAAGCAAAGCAAACTCCTTCCCTTCTCAACGATGCACCTAGAGTTTAAGGGCAAATGTGTAACATTGTTAATTCGCATCATAAGGGCCATATTAATATATCTGAGCTACCCAACAAAGCAAGGCCCTATAGTGGATGAAATTCCTCCACAGTCTCTTCCAATACCTCAGTCTGAATTTATTATTCCCTTCACAGTTGGTTAGGTCCTATTTGTGCCCATGTCCACTAACAGACTGCAGATTTTTTGCCAGAAACCCTTGAAGCCAGTCCAAGAATGCAGATATGCATTCTTGACATGGAAACAAAGATAAAGCAATGGGGGCTGACCTCATATATGTCAACTGGGAGATGAATCAACAACACAGAAGTAACAAGGACTGGAGACAAGCACCCTGATCTTTGTCACCCTGAAGGGAAAAGGTACATATACAATGTATGGTCTTCTGGGCCATGCAGGGCTGTCTTGGCTACACAGCCTAGACTAGGCAAGTAGCATGTAGGTGCTCACCAGGAACACATATCAAACACTGCAAGTGTGTTAGTACTATTAAATCTTTATTTGGTACCTGGAGCTCCTAGGCCCATAATGTGCCAAATAGTAGTATATTTTAAGAAAGCATTAGACCTCGCAACCAAGAGCCATAACCAAATGGAAACCGTGTTAGTACAAAATTAAAATGAAAAAATAATGGATGTTTTATAAGACCTATATACTACTAACATGAATAAGAACCAACAGAACATTTACTTCTAAGCAGTGGTTCATTCATCCTGTATGATGTGAAAGGGTCTGAAAACCAGGGAATCCACTGAGGAACCAGCCTCCAGATACAGTTCAGTGCAGAGAAGGCAGCAGAAACATGTGGGAGGTGGGAATATACAGTTTGAAAAATGATTAAAAATTCAAAGACTGAGCTGAGGGCTTGAGCCAAATCAAAGAAAGCAGGATCCAAAGTACGACTGCCCAGTTCCAGAAAGAAGCCATGGAAAGGGCCTGGCAGGAAATTCCTAGTAAGTATCAGCTAAAACAAAGGTACCTAGTTACTGAAAACCTAGTGCCAGTGAAAGGCCGGTGGCTCTCAAGCCGAGAGAATACAGAGGATGAGACATCCAGAAGTCACCCACTCTCACTTCCTAGAGTTGAAAAGAGCATTATAATTAACAGGCTATAACCTCAGTAAAAGGTGTTAAGTTCAGCAAAAGGTACCTACCCTGGGAAGTATTCCTAAATTCTAATCACTAAAAAAAAAAAAAAAAAAAAAAAAACACATTTTCTATGTTGTAAACTACACGACTTTATTCTAATCATCCATCTCAAACCACTGCTAAGACATGCAACCCTAAAGGTCTTTTTGTTTCTCAAGGGAATAGCATTACCATTTCAATCGGTCTACGAAGATCAGCAACAAGTAACAAAATATGGAGAGATGGCAGTACTAATAAGCTTCTTCTCAATCCTGAGCATTTTACTTTCTTTCAACATCCCCCAATCCAAATAGCACCAAAGGAGATGTAATACAAATATTTCAGTGTGGATATCTGCGGTTTAACAGCCTTAATAACTGTAGCTATAAAATGTTAAGAGCTATCCTATTTTGGTGGCAATTAAGAGTTATTGATATTTCTGAAATTCATTTGAGATTTTACTGTAGCTTTAACAAAATATTGGCTTATAATATGGCTCTGGAAATAATAAACTGTTTTACAATCTTAACATTATTAAGAAAAACTTATTGCCATGAAATTAAACTAAACCCACATTTAAAATTCAATCAAAATAAATTGCTCTTGATCAAAATACTAATATATTTAAAACATATTTAATATTGACCCAATTTAATTGGAAGAATATATATTGCTCCATTTATAATCAATATGTTGAGATTTACACTTTTATTAATTCTTTGCAGTACTTAAGAAAATGTCGGACACTGTTCACTGTTCAAGAGTACTATGCAATATTCCTCCAACATCTTTACAGGTAATAAACACAAACAGAAACAAAAGCTACGCTGAGGAATGACAAATATAAGCCACTCCTCAACTGTGTATTACTACATAAGGTGCTACAAGAATGTGAGTGCCACGGCTCTAAACAGGATTTAAGTCACACATTATTCTTTAAAAGAACTCTGATGCATCTATTTTGGAAAGGTTATGGAATGTGTGTAGTGTCTGGACGGGGTAACGAGCAGTTCTAAGTAACAAGAAAACCACTAGGTCAACCTCCATTCATGAAGGCCAATAAATACAACAAACTAGGTCTCCTCACCTTGAGAAATAAGAAAAAACTGTTGAAGATTGGGAAAAAGTCATCCCATTGTCAACTATTTTAAAAGTAATAAGGTTCCTTTTTCCCTTTGACTTCCTTAGAGCTAAGTGAGCAAATGCAGACTTGAAATGCGTGGCAGTAGCACCGTGCTCCATGGACCACCGTGGGGAGGCCTGCGACGCACAGATTAGTTTTCCTGGCTCATAGAAAATGTGTGGCAATACGCAATTCAAACTTCATGTTTCACACGTTCACCTTCCCTTTTATGCTGCTTGCATCATACACTGACAAAGTCATGGAGCTAAAAGCCAAAGTCAGTCTCTAGCATAAAAAAGCAACAGTGAAAAGAAAGGTATGCTGTGCATACAAAGCATACTTTTCACATGATGGTCATTTATAATTATGCAGATGACTATTTCCTCAAGGCAAAGGAAGGATTTACACGTCAAAGCTTAAGTTTCAACTCTTTTTTGGAAAAAAGTTCTCCAAAATTACTTTCCTGCTTCAAAAGGGAAAACGGAAACCCCTATCCAGTATGTATGACATAATTCACCCTTTTCTTTTTCCTGACACTTATTCCAGAGTGAAGGCTGGTATAAAGGAGACACAGCTCACACTCAGCCCTCTGTATGCCTCTTGACAAAGGTGTCATCTGGCCAGTGCGAATGAGCTTTTCCCAGGCAGCCTCCTGGACAGGCAGGAGCATGCTGCTGAGACTGGATGGCCCTGGCTCTGAAAGAACAATAGTTCTTTTTTTTTCCCTTAAGTTTTTCCATCTTAGACTTGCCTCCAAATCCAACTAAAGAACTAGAAGTATGCCAGGCGCAGTGGCTCACGCCTATTATCACAGCACTTTGGGAGGCCGAGGCAGGCAGATCACAAGGTCAAGAGGTCGAGACCATCCTGGCCAACATGGTGAAACCCCATTTCTACTAAAAATACAAAAACATTAGCTGGGCGTGGTGGCACGCGCCTGTAGTCCCAGCTACTCGGGAGGCTGAGGTAGGAGAATCACTTGAACCCGAGAGACAGAGATTGCAGTGAGCCAAGATTGTGCCACTGCACTCCAGCCTGGAGACAGAGGGAGACTCAAAAAAAAAAAAAAAAAAAGACCTAGAAGTACAAGCAGGTGGGGACAGCTGCATTAAGGACTTAGGGGCCCCACTGCTTCTAGCAGGTTAAGAGTAGAAGAAATCCAACCTCTGCATACTCAGGGGTCTAATATATTAAGCTGCATCTAGAATTGTTTACACAGTAACAAACCTGTCACCTAAGATAAAGAAAACAGTACAATGTATTTATGATCCCTGCAGACTGACCTTAACCGCTGCTTGTAATAATCTTCATCTCCATCATCTCGATATCTCCCTACTTTCCGCCCTCCTCCTCCTCCTCCTCCTACAGGAGAAGCTTCAGCTTCTTCTCCAGAACTTGGGAAAAAGTCATCATCAATCTCCTGCACTGGGACTTTCTTCTGCCGTTTCCGGCCCTTAGGCAGAGGCTTCAGTTCATAGTCAGTACCATCTCCAGACAGGTCCGCCTCCACCCCCTCCACCTCATCATCTTCCTCCTCCTCTTCCTCCTCCTCTGTGGGGAAGTACTCAGACTCTTCACCCCCAGAGTCTCCCTCTGCCTGTGGCCTCATGTCTGACTCCCAAGGTCTCCTTGTCTTTGGCAATCCCACCTTCCCCTGGAACTGCAGAGCCCTCTTCTGGAGTTTCTTGATGTGCTTTTTCAAACGCTCCTCTTTTTTCGACAGAACTTTGGTTTTCTTGTTTGCTTTGTTTTTATTTTGCATTGGGGCTGGAGACATGACTGGAGCTGGAGCTTTTCTAGCTGCTCTTTTATTACAAGCTTGCTTCTTCCTTTCAAAAGACAGTTTTGCTTGATCTGCCAAATACTTTTCGAAGCCTGATGCTTCATTGAGCATGATTTTTCTGGGCTTTTTCTCCTGTTTCTGAGGAATCTGGGTACCAAAAGGTGTCATCTGGCCAGTGCGAATGAGCTCTTCCCAGGCAGTCTCCTGGACAGGCATGAGCATGCTGCCGAGACTGGATGGCCCCGGCTCTGAAAGAACAATAGCAACGCATTTCACACTAGCATGAAACTTTCCCAGAGTACAAAAGAAATGCTCACTCTTTCAAGAAATAGTAGGCACCTACAAGTAACTCATATAAAAAAATCATCCATGTACTAAAGCATGTTACACATGAAAGACAGAATAAAATGTATTATAGCATCATGCTATATTTAATATATTCCCATTCACAAATATGACTTCTCAGTAACTTTCCTCCAAAATATTTCACTATAAATATACTCTCTGCCATTCAAGAATAGGCTTATTACTCTATAGAGTTATAAATAAACAAGTTTAGCTGTGTTTCCTCATCAGCTGAGGAATAGCCCACGAGGAAGCAAGATCCAAAGTTCCCACATCATTGCTAAAACCAACACTCAGATGGACTTAAATTCAAGAGACAGTAAAACCGAAAACAGGCATCTGAGGGACCATGTGCCTAAATAGGAAAAACATAAATGTCAGTTCTACGCTGTCCAGCATGGTAGTTACCAGTCACCTGTAGCTATTTAAATTTAAATTACATTAAGTTAAAAACTCAGTTCCATAGCTGCACTTGCCCTTTTTCAAGTGCTCAAGAGCCACACGTGACTAATGGCTACTATAATGGACAACACAGAGAACGTTTTCATCACTGCAAAAAGGCCTATTGGACAGCAGCACCGTGTTAGATATGTGAAGTTAACTGACTTGAAGATATGAACTAAAATTGGAAGTTACGCCGTAAGTGTAAAGTCACCCAGGAAGAATCCCTCTTTCATTAGTTGAAATTCATCTCCGGTAAAGTTACCACATAACCAAAATACCAAAAGACCTAAGGCTTAATAGAAAGGAATCCATATTCTAAAATCTACGATTCTTGTAGGCCAATGATACCCAGTTTTTCATTAAACTTGCACTGAAATAAAATATACATCTGAAAGTGCACAAATTATTAAAAGTGTAGAGCCCAGTGAATATTTAGAAAAAAAGTGTACTCATAAACTAGCACCCATATCAAGTAAAAGAAATTACTAGCACCACCAGATGAGCCCTTCAGGCCACCTCCCAGCCTCAATACCCACCCCCAAGATAATGATGGACCTGACTCCTAATATGTAGACAAGTTGTGCCTGTCTCTGAAAGCTATGTAAGTGGAAATTTCTGTGCTGTGTCCACCTTCTTTCAAGTAACATAATGCTTTTGGCCTGCATACTTACTGCTGAACGTAGCTGTGGTTTGTTAACTGTCAAATGTTAATGCACATTTGAGTGGCTTCCAGGTTTTGGTCACTAGGAAAAATGTTACTATGAATATTCTGATCTTTTGGTAACATGTATAGATAAATAAATAATTCTCTGGGTATGCTAAGCTTCAGTAGACACTGTCAGTTTTCCAAAGTGTTACCTTCCAAAGTCCCACCAACTGTGTCAAATAGTTCCAACTGGTGCACATTCTAGCCATTCCACGTTAGCTATGCTGGTAGATGTGTACTGGTACCACATTCTGGCTGTAATTTATATTTCCGTGATGACTAACAAAAGAAGTACCTTTCATGAATTTATCTTTTGGACAGCCTCTTTTGTATAGAAAGTATTCAAGTCTTTTGCCCTTTTTTTTGTCTATTTTTTTAAATGATTTCTAGGAGTTCTTTATACATTCTAGATTTCAGTCCTGTGATTCACACATGTATGGCAAATATCTTCTCCAGCTCAGTATCTTGCCTTTTCACTCTCTAAATGCTATCTTCTGATGAATAGAAGTTCTTGGTTTTATCTATAGTCCATTTAACAAATCTTTTCCTTTACACTAAGCATTTTGCCTCAATTCTCAAGTGATGGCTGGTGTCCAGACAGAGAGATATAATAGGAACTAGGAGCTCAAAAAAGGCAAAACCAGACGTCTACAGATCTGTATAAGATACTAGAAGAACCTATGTGGCTACAAAAGCCATAGGAAATAGATGACATTATTCAAGGAGAGGCAGTAGAACAAGAAGAGGGCTCAGAGAAATCCTGAGAAACATCAACATCTAAAATAAGGCCAGAAATAACTATGCAGAAGTAGTCAGCGGGCCAAAAAGAAAACCAGGAGAGAAGCAGGGATCCCAGAAGGAACAGAAGTGTCAGCTGCTGTAGACAGGCAGAGTGACCAAGGATAAAAAGGGGCTCTTGGATTTGAGGAGGTAGCTATTAACCCTAGACAATGTAACTATTAACCCCACTACCAAAGTCACAGTAGGAGGTGAAAGACAGTAACAGCCAGACAAGAACAAACATCTGTTACCAATGAGAAACATAGTACACAGCAGTCAAAAGCACTGGTCATTGGCTTAATGAATTCTGAGAGACTGAACTTTAAAACCATGTATTTTTGGGCCTGGCACAGTGGCTCACGCCTGTAATCCCAGCACTTTGGGAGGCCAAGGCAAGCAGATCACCTAAGCTCAGGAGTTTGAGACTGGCCTGGCTAACATGGTGAAACCCCGTTTCTACTAAAAACAGAAAAAATTATCCAGGGGTGGTGGTACACGCCTGTAATCTCAGGATTACAGGGAGGCTGAGGCAGAATTGCTTGAACCTAGGCCGGGCACGGTGGCTCAAGCCTGTAATCCCAGCACTTTGGGAGGCCGAGGCGGGTGGATCACGAGGTCAAGAGATCGAGACCATCCTGGTCAACATGGCGAAACCCCGTCTCTACTAAAAATACAAAAACATTAGCTGGGCATGGTGGTGCGTGCCTGTAATCCCAGCTACTCAGGAGGCTGAGGCAGGAGAATTGCCTGAACCCAGGAGGCGGAGGTTGCGGTGAGCCGAGATCGCGCCATTGCACTCCAGCCTGGGTAACATGAGTGAAACTCCGTCTCAAAAAAAAAAAAAAAAAAAAAAAAAAAAAGAATTGCTTGAACTTGGGAGGCGGAGGTTGCAGTGAGCCAAGATCATGCCACTGCACTTCAGCTTGGGCAACAAGAATGAAACTTCATCTCAATAAAAAAAGAAAAAAAACACGTATTTTTCTAATATTTTTTCTATTGCCTCAATTAATTCTTCATAACAATTCTCATCTTACTGAATAAACTTTTAAAGCTGGTAGAAAATAGTTGCTTAGAAAATTTAATCCTAAACAGCTTTAATCTATATTTCAAGTAGTCAATGACTAAGCAGCCACCAACAACTTCTATACACACACACACACACACACACACACACACACACACACACACACACAATTACTGCAAAGATAATTTAGTTCCAGAGCTTAAGAATCTTCCCAAAAGGTTTTCCAAAAGAAAACCATCCAAGACAGTAATGGCCAAATGAAATACTGGCCATAGTATAACCTGAAAAAGATGTCTTTTCTTAAACAACAGAACTGATGCTTGGAAAGCCTGCCAAAAACACTCCTAAAAGACATGTGAGAACCGTTCTCTAAATGCGAATTGATGATGTTGGGCTTCCAACATGTAAATTAATCATGATGTTACTTGTCTTTATCAAATTAACAATATAAGAATATTTAAGATTTCCAATGTATTAAATGTAAAAATAAATGTGTACCAGCAGCCTTCAGTGAGCTGAGTTAAATATTTACTTTCATTCTCTTTGAAAGGGATTTGGCTCTGCAGACGTAGAGAAGAGAATTTTCCTAAATCTGTTTTGACACTAAGGCAAAGAAGTGTGTTTTTCTCAACCCAGGCGAAGACTAAAGAGACAACGTCCACTGACTACAGATACCAGGCATCTATTCAAGAACACAGAGAAACTGTTCCCAGCATCCTCACCTGCATCCTCCTCCTCCAGGCTGGCATGATCTAATTCAACTTTCACCTCTGCTCCTCCAAGGATGGCCTGGAGACGCTTTTGTTTTGCAGTGATCTTTTTTAGCTGTTGTTCCTTGAATGGTAAATATCAAATACAAAAAACAGCAATGAAGCGATTTATTGTTAAATACAAAAGACAGCATTACAAAATTTTAAACTTTAATCCAAAGGAAAATACAAATAAAATATACATTATATAAAAATTCCATACGTTACTATTACTAGAGAGCCCTATATGAGCAACTACCACTTGTCTAGCAGCAAAGGGGCCTTGAGTGTTCCCAGCAGACAGGCATGCCTGCACCCCCATGCTCTCCTGAGGGCGGCAGACAGCCTTCTATGTGTTCGAGCATTTAAATACATGGGCACTGACCTGAAAGGTGGACGACTTCTACTTGGTTTCCCCATTATACACTGGGAAAGTCCCTAAACTACTCTGTGTTTCTCATCTTAGGAGCCAATGGGCTACGGAAGTCAATAAGCCATAAGATAAGAAATAAAAATACAAATGTTCAGTTGAAAAAGTCAATCCCAGGCCGGGCGCGGTGGCTCACGCCTGTAATCCCAGCACTTTGGGAGGCCGAGGCGGGTGGATCACGAGGTCAAGAGATCGAGACCATCCTGGTCAACATGGCAAAACCCCGTCTCTACAAAAAATACAAAAAATTAGCTGGGTATGGTGGCGCGTGCCTGTAATGCCAGCTACTCAGGAGGCTGAGGCAGGAGAATTGCCTGAATCCAGGAGGCGGAGGTTGTGGTGAGCCGAGATCGCACCATTGCACTCCAGCCTGGGTAAAAAAAGCGAAACTCCATCTCAAAAAAAAAAAAGTCAATCCCCTTTGATAACCTATCATATTTATGACTGTCCTTTTAGTATTCTACCCTATCAAAAAGCTTTAAGAGAAAAATATATTTTGCCATGCCTCTTCATCCTGACTCCTCTTTGTCTCGTTTCCTTCCACATCACCAGAACTCTGATATGTGCCCTTCCTGGGCCTCCCCAGTGAACTGGGCCTGGGATACCTGGTTCATCTTCCCAAGGTCAAGAATGTCTCAACTTTAAATGTCAGTGTGGGGCAAGGGGAAACCCTGAACATAAATGCCACATTGCAATGACTTGCAATTTGTTTTTTCTGTCTTTCTCTCAGCAACATCCTGTTTAAAGCATTTTCCCTCTGAATAGTCTACCTCTAACCATCAAAGAGCTGCTGATGAAAGACAAGAATGCATAACTAAGTTAGACTAGGACTTGAAAAGTGGTCTCAAGTTTGGTCCTCTATAACCTTAAAATTCCAGCCCACCAAAAACCCAAGCAGGTCTCTGCACATCGATTTCACATGCTCCCACAAGAGAGCAGATGTCTCCTTTCTGATTTGGGAGGACCCCACCTGCCTTGAGCAACTGCTAGCTTTGACCTTTGGACTGCTATTCTGGAAGCAAGTTAGAAAAGATGGGGTGGTGCAGATAACAGACTGGAGAGTGGGAAGTATAAGGGGCACATGAACTGAGTCTATGCACAGCCCTACCCCTGGAGAGCTTAAAGAAAACATGCGAGGACTCTACTCGATGCAGTGAATCAACTGTAAGCACAAGGACATCTGCTAGTCATTTGGGATGGCAGAAATGAAATGGTCGCAACTAGTCTTTCCTATCCATTGCAATGTATTTTAACAAAGAGGGTACATAAATCCTAAAAAATATTTCAAACCTCACAAAGCTGTACATAAATCGTTAAAAAAAGGTTTCAAACCTCATAAAAATAATATTCTAAGTAACAAATACTCCCTACCCTTAGGTTCTCTGAACCTAAGTACAGCCCCAGTGTGGCTGGGTGCTGACTATAATGCCCAAGGAGGGAGAAAGGGCCAGGCTCTCGCAACAATGAGCAGAAGTATGTGAGGGTCAACAATTCCACGGCCAGGAAACAGAGTGGAGACAATCAGAGAAAGCAAGGGCTAAGCAGAAAAAAGAATTCACACAAGACCAGGAGACAGAGCGAGAGGCCAGTGTAACCCTAAGCCGGGCCGAAGAAATGGTGATGCAGGAAGACTAGGAAAGTGCACCCAAGTGAGGCAAGCAATGCCAAAAAGGAACTTTTCTCAAATACACAGAGGATCCCTGACTTATCATGGTCTGACTTATGATTTCTCAACTTTATGATGGGTTTATCAGGTCATATTCCCACCGTAAGCCGAGGAGCCTCTGGACTTAAATATGGTTTGACTTACAATATTTTGACTTTAAGACAGGTTTCTCAGAGTATTAAATGCATTTTCGCCTAACAATATTTTCAATTTATGATGGGTTTGTTGGGATGTAACCCTGTTGTAAATCAAGAAGCAACTGTATACATATGGATGTGTGTATGGATGGATGTGTGTGTCTATGTATATGTGTGTTTTTTTTAATGTGATAGAATGGGATGTTAAAGGGAAACAAAAAGATTAAACATGCAAAAGCAGCCCAACATTTTTCTACTGTAATTATAAGTATTTGCTTCACATCTTATAAGCACTTTTTAAAATACCTCCTAAATTCTTAAGTGGGCCTACACGATGACTTTTTTAAAAATGCAGTATTGAATACGTTATTCTGAAATCACCTTATTATACTTCTGTCGTTTCACAGAATCTAGTTTCCTGTTGATGTCTCTGCTGGTGGCAGCTTGAGGGCTAAGTTGTTCAATAATTTTATCAATTTGCCTTAGGGATGTCGTACATGACCTGAAAAATAAGATAAATTTCTATTTTCCACTCTGATAACATTTTTATAGCATACTATAAAGAGATAAATGCTAAAAAAACATGTCCCTTTTACTTCTTATTAACTAAAAGAAAGAAGAAACTAAATCAGAGTACATTATCTTTATTGGCCACAAATAAAACTTGAAGGATCATTAGAGTTTTAAGATGACTGCTAGTGTCTTCTTTTAACTAGCTGATTTAAATCAGCTCGTTCCCATTTATAAGCTGATTCATTCATTCTACAAGCATTATTTAAGTACCTACTTTATTCAAGACACTATGCTAGAACAATGTGCGGTAAGTTGTCCTTTTACATGACAAAATGCATACATGAGCTTTTACGCCTGTTATGGAAGCCTTCTAAAGTTTGGAAGCATTCTAAAAATGCTTAAACATTTCTTACATAAATCACACATCTGTGACAATATTTTTCTTTTACATAAATGGAAGATTCACTTACCATAACATTAAGTTTTGTGGTACAAAGAAAATAAATCCATTTAAAATAAATTACTCCTAAAATAGACACCACAGAATCGTAGCTTCCAATTTTCAGAACACAAATTCAATCTCCTTGAAGCTTGTGTAATTTCCTGTTTGTAACCTCTGTGGATTACAGGATAAACAATGCATATTTCTGGCTGAGGCACCACATGCCACCAGCCATCTAGCATCACTCTGCATGGAGACTCTACAACTCTCCTTTGTCACCTCTGTAGAAAAAGGACACATTTCCAAGATCAAATGTAAAAGTGTCATTATAAAGAGTTGATGTCCTCAACACTCAGACTATAACCACAACAAGCACCTGTTACTGAAGAAGTCAAAAGAACACACCAAGGAATGGTTAGCAGAAAACATGTCTTTTGAAGTACCAACAGCCACATTCATGACAACCTCAGCCAGGGGCTCCACACTCCACCCTCCCCAGCTATCCTCTGTGACACTGCTCCATCCTCCATCCAACTCAGCACTCACCTTCTTTCTTGCTTACCTGACACTGCCCAGAACACTGCCCAACAGGGGGCCAAGCAGCAATGATAAGTGAGTTCAACTCTCCCCCTTCCCTCTCCTGTCTTCACCTCCCATCCTGGCTCAGGTCCATAGTCTCCCCTTTTTCCCCACTAATGTGCTATGCTCAGAAGAGTTCAAGTCTTCCCCCTCTCTAAAACACAAATGAAATCTCCATTCCTAGAAAACTAGGATGGAAGAAAGGAATACCAGGGAGTCTTTCTCGTTATTTCTAGAAATATAAATCTGAAAAATCGCCAAAGACTGAACACTAAGTTTCGGGACACCAAGCTAGAAAGAAACTACTGCACAGAGAAAAATGTGAAGGGGACGGAATGTATTCCTGGTATCTCAAGTAGGAAACACCAGAATTTTAGGTGCACTTCTCCTGAGATCACTTTGTGCATATGCTGGTGAATAGCCCTTCTCTTCTGGACATTATGGATGAAACTGGGTTTCATGAGCCGGACGGAGACTTTTACCATGTACAATGGTGCTCCTGAGGTGAAGGGCTGGGGCTCAAAGACAAGGCTGAGGACTGCCCCTATTGATTCTGTCCTCCAAATAAAAGGTTCTACACACCTCCTAAACTTCTGGAATACTGGAGCTCCCCATTACCTGAATATCCCTATCATGTTTAACCACAACTTTGAAAGGGAGAAGATGGGCCGCACTCACGTGAGGTCATCCAGGACGGACCGATACTCCTTTTCCGCATCAGCGAGCTGGGAGGCACAGCTGGCCTCATGGATGGCGTTGTCCACCTGCTGAAGCACACCCTGTTCCAGCACGTCCTGGTCATAGACGTCCACACCCAAACCCTGCAGCTCAAGGGCCTGGGCGCTAGGCTCCACCGCCTGGATCTGATGTCGGTCGATGTGCAGCAAGGCTGGCCCTCTCCTTGGAGCTGCTGATGCGCACCCCTCGGCAGTGGAGAACAGCCCATCACCCACGGAATGAGAGTGCAGGTATTCCTCCATCTCCCCATCACCACTACTTTCTTGCTTGATTGCCATTTCTTCATTATTACTGACAGGCTGACTCTGTAAACAGTCTTGCTCCTGAGTTTGACTTGAGTGGGGGATTCCCTCATTTGGCATTCTCTACAGACTAACTAAAAGGAAAAAAAGAAATTTATAAGCCATTTCGTTATGTAGGATTCACTGTAGTTCTTAAATATTGCATAATTAGAGCAGACTGATTTATCAAAAGATCAAGTAATAATCTTCCAATTATATAAATTCAAGTTTCTAAGTATTAATTTACTAAAAAGGCACAAACGATGTAGTTTCTTGAGTTCTGATAATAAGAAAAATGAACCAAAAAAAGAAATGCAGTATCAATTAGGCAGCCAGCTAAGAAAGCCAGCTACCAAAATCCTGGGGTGATGGCCATGGAATATTCTTCAAAACAGCCAAGTCATTTGGCTGCTGTTTTCCACGTCAGCATCTTCATTTCATTATGACACAAATGATTTATATTATAGTGGCAAGATCAACTGTAATGCATAGGAAACAGTGATGTTAGGAAAGAGCTTCTGTATGAATATGAGACTAGAAACTCCTAGGCAGAACACCTATCCAGTAAGTAGGAACTTTGAACAAATCAGAATCTCAGAAGACTAATTACAATTAGGCCAAGTACAGTGGCTCACTCCTATAATCCGGCACTTTGGAAGGCCAAAGCAGGAGGGCAGAGACCAGCCAGGGAAACACAGCAAGCTCAGTTCGAGACCAGCCTGGGATACATAGTAGGACCTTGTCTCTGCTAAAAATTTAAAAAATTAAGCAGGCATTGTGGTGTGCACCTATAGTCTCAGCTACTTAAAGGGCTAAGATAGGAGGATCGCTTGAGCCTGGGAGATGGAGGCTCCAGTAAGCAACGACAGCACAACTGCACTCCAGCCTGGGCAACAGAGCAAGACCTTGTGAAATGAAGATTAAAATATTCTCAAAAATAGGCCAGGCACGGTGGCTCACGTCTGTAATCTAGCACTTTGGGAGGCTGATATGGGTAGATCACTTGAGGTCCGGAGTTTGAGACCAGCCTGGCCAACATGGTGAAACCCCGTCTCTACTAAAAATTGGCTAGGCATGGTGGCGGGCACCTGTAATCACAGCTACTTGGGAGAATGAGGCAGGAGAATCACTTAAACCCAGGAGGTAGAGGATGCAGTGAGCCAAGATCTTGCCACTGCATTCCAGCGTGGGCAACAGAGTGAGAGTCAATCACCAAAAAATAAAATAAAATAAAATAAAAACCCTCAAAAATAACTCCATTTCAATATACAGTATAATTTCTCACCCATCAGGTTGGCAAGAATATAAAGCCTGATAAATCCAATACAGACAAGGAGGAGGATCTCCCCTCACATGCTGCTGCTGAAAATATAAATTAGTAAAGCCCTTTGGGGGGACAACTTAGCAATATCTATCAAAATCTGAAATGCACACAACCTTTGCCAAGCAATTCTAGGTATTTATTCCAGAGAACTAGTCATACACAGGTGCAAGGATGTTTAGTGGAGCACACTTTTAATAGTTTGATGTAGCTACTAAGTATATTCTGTAGTACTGATATAAAAGCCATGTTAAGTGAAAAAATTCATGGTATGAACACCTTTAGGTTGAAAAAAGTACCCTGCACACAGAATGATCTGGCAGGATACAAACCAAGCCTGCAAGTCAGGAGGGGGAACAGAAGGCACAGGGAAAAGTAAGTGGGAACTTTCACATTGTACTCCACATACTCAGGACTTGCTGCTTTAAGGAGCATATATTCACTGTATTATCTATACAACTATCACATCTAATAAATATATTAAAAAGCAACACAATAACCAAGAGACCAGTCTTGCTGTTTGTTTAACTGTGAATAAACTAAGGTTTCTTTGAGCACTACAACTTTTCTGTGAAATGACAAGTGGTCCCAATAGGCCCCACTCATTACTCATTAAATAAAATAAGCCCAGCAATAAAGCACTCAGATACAAAGAATTCAGAATCATCTACACCCAAGTGGCTATCTACTGGAGAAGTAACATCTCAGTAACCACAGAGCAGGGCAGGTCAGCTAGCCCAGGACACAGACAAGAGGTCACATGAGCATTGAGGGAACTATATACAGTGTCTGGGGCCCAAGAAATATGACAGAGGAGCTAAGATTTGAACACATCAGCCATGCATGGTCTGATATATAGGAGGTGCTCAATATCTGCTGAAAGGAAGGGAGGTTCAGAGCTAAGTCTAAAATAATAAAAAGTTTGGTCTGGACAAATGAGTCACCAGTGAATTCAGTCACAAAAATGAGACTCTCAAAAAGGAACCAGATGGGAAGCAGGACTGGCAAGCAGCTTACATGTAATCAGTACCGTGTGCAGCATCCAGTCAGAAATGCCAATCTGAGCACACAGGAAAGTCTGGGTGACACGTGGACACATCAGCACTGTGAGAAGTTCCAGGGTTCCCTAGGCTCTAACAGGTACCCGAGGTCATTTTAGAGGGCACAAGGAGGCTATCATTGGAAAGGTTAAAAAGTAAACAACACAGTGAGAAAGTTCCTCCTTTTGGGGTCTGCTGATTATTTTCAAGAGGAAGGCTCAGCACACCTCCCTTTCCAACAGGAGCAGGATTCCAGCTCAATCTCTGAACTAGCTGGCAGTTAACAATTCCGTTTTCATTTTTCTTATTTGTACGCATACGAGAATATTTTAAGAAAAAAGAATGCCAATTCAACCAAAAATATTAAGTAATCAATTTTTTTATTTTTGTAAATTAATATCAAAAACAATAGTACTGTAGTGCAAAGGCAAGGTTAAAAGTAATGAAGTTCGAGGAAAACTTCAAATAATAAAAAAGGAGAAAGAGGACCCAATGAATTAGAAAGAGCTGAGTGAATGTGGATACTAACAGGTCACCATTTATCTTGGTAAAAGAAGTTTCAGGCCAGGAGCGGTGGCTCACACCTGTAATCTCAGTACTTTGGGAGGCTGAGGCGGGTGGATCACCTGAGGTCAGGAGTTTGCGACCAGCCTGACCCTGTCTCTACTAAAAATACAAAAATTAGCTGGGCGTAGTAGCACATGCCTGTAATCCCAGCTACTTGGGAGGCTGAGGCACAAGAATTGCTTGAACCCACAAGGCAGAGGTTGCAGTGGGCAACAAGAACAAAACTCTGCCTCAAAAAAAAAAAAAGTTTCAGTGGAACAATGGGGCCAAAAATCATACTGTAGTAGTTGAAATGTAGTTGGTGTGAAATGAGTGTATGAGGAAATGGAGGCCGCAAGGGAGTTGCCTGTTCTTTAAGGAGCTTGCCTGTGACAGGGAGACAGCTAGAGTGATAAAGTAATAATGGGGTGGGTAGAGAACTAGGGCAAGAAAAACTAGAGCGAGCATATAATGGCTAGAGGGAGAGAGAGGAGATAACCCACACAGAAAGGTGTGCCAGAAGAGACAGCAGAGGGGGAAGGTCCCGAACAGAAATGAACAGGAGGCACAACACATCTTTCTCAGACTCTGGCAGGAGGAGGACTCCTGATAGATCTAAATTTGCAGGTGGAGAGGGAAGCTGAAGTGGATCACAGACAAAATATCCCACAAAGTAGCAAGTTGGGCAGTTCCTGAGTCAGGAGACAAAGTTGGGACAGGGGCTGAAGACTAAGAGTCTAAAATAAATGTCCTGTACAAGAGAAAAGGGAGCTCACAGAGAACAAATGCTGATGATCACTGTGGAGGACCTACCTGAGGATCTCCCCGCCCCACAAAGCCATGGATTGCCAACAATCTCCGGGGCTGTACAATCTCCTCCTTCAGTAATTAGCAGTCCTGGGGGAAACGGCACTATTGAGGGTTTTCAGAGTAGAAGTGATAGAGTACAAGTGTCATGGGGTTGAAGATGCTGAGAAGTGTAGCTGAAGTAACTGACTTCAGGGTCCAAGCTGGGCAAGATTAAAAAAAAAAAAAAAAAAACCAGAAGGTGCCTGGAAATGGGAGAAAGGGGTTAGAAGCTACTTAGTGTCTGGCAATGGCCAAAAATCCAAGTCTTCTGGGAGTAAGAGTTGGAAATCAGAAGGCTCTTATCAGGTTAAAGCATTTCAGAAGTCATACATCATACATCTAACAAATAGTTACTGAGAGTCAATTACACCAGGCAATGTACTAGGTTAACTAATTCCTGTCTCCATAGGGCTTAGAGTCTCTTGGGAAAGACAGACATTTTAAAACTACGTGTGCGTGTGCATGTGTGTGTGTATACATACAAATATAATTGTGGTGACTGCTGTTAAGAGGAAAGTTCAAGACTTTCTGACAAAATAAGAGAAACCTAATTGAAATTGTGGAGGTAGGTGTGGGGTCAAGGAGATCTCTCCAGTAAAGTGACATCTGAGTCAGGAGTCAATCACGTCGAACGTAAAGTGAACGTTTTGTGAGGGAATGTGTGATTTTCTTTTTTTTTTTTTTTTTTTTTTTTGAGACAAGAGTTTCACTCCTGTTGCCACGGCTAGAGTGCAATGGCACAATCTCAGTTCACAGGAACCTCCACCTCCCGGGTTCAAGTGATTCTCCTGCCTCAGCCTCCCGAGTAGCTGGGGTTACAGGCATGTGCCACCATGCCTGACTAATTTTTTTGTATTTGGTAGAGATGGGGTTTCTCCATGTTGGTCAGGCTGGTCTCGACTCCTGAACTCAGGTGATCCACCCACCTTGGCGTCTCAACAACTGGTGTGTAACTTTTAAGACTAGAAAGAGCTGGTGCATTTATTATGACAATGCAAGAAGGCTGGAACACAGAGAGAATTTTTTACTTTGACAAAGAGAATTTACTTGAGTTAAGAAGGGCCAAGAAGGGCTCCGTTCCTAAGTCTTGCAGAGTATCTTCTAAAGCTTAATCATCTGGGACAATAGTATCCACCGTCCTCCCTCCAGCACTGGGGCTCCCACAGCCAGAGGCGAACTGGGTCTGGTTTGGAGAGTTGGTCGGACGCAGGCACAGTTGAGACGGGACAGGCAAGGGCCAGATCACACAAGGCCTGGGAAAACACGAGCATGGATTCCACTCCCCGTGCAATGGAATGACTCTGAAAACTGCTAAGTAGGGTGATGATGGCATGACCTACTTTATGCCTGAGACCACTTGGACAACTGAGCACATAATGGACTGGAGCAGGCGGAGCAGCAAGATGATGGGAAAAGTTGAGGAGAAAAGCGAGGGCAGCCTGTCACAAGATGACAGCAGTGAAGACGCCAAGTGAAGTCACGTAACTGCAGCTTTACAGGCGGCCTGCCTCATCCGCCCAAACTCTAACTTGACTCTATCAACGCCCAAAACGTCGGGCGTACATCTAGCCCGACTCTCTTAAAAATAACAGCTCCAGTATTTTAATCGAGAGCAAACAGGACCCAGCTGATCCTGCGCACAGGGGTGTTACACAAAGTAGGAGAAGATGCCAGGTCGCTGGCCAGCCAGGGACTCCGGCCTTCTCAGGTGAGAGCTCAGCCGCGCTACTTCCGGTCGCAGGTGAAGCGGCCGGAAGCGGAGCTCGAGGCTTTAAGACCCGCTACGGTCTGCCCTCGCGGACAGGCTCAATCAGCGCGGCGAGACCAAGGCATGGGGTCGCGGCCGCCCGAGGAGCCTGAGCCGGCCCCGACACCCCCAGCCCGAGGCCGGGCCGCCAGAACACTCACCCAGGGCCGCGCGGTCGCCCACACGGAAACGGAGACGCTGCCGCCACCAGCCGCCTTGGAACCCAGCTCGGCGGGCCACGGCGCCTGCGCCCTCAGCCCGCCATAGACGCCGCCCCCAACAGCGACTCCGACTCGGGCTCGCGCAGAAGGCCTGTGGCGCATGCGCTGGGCTCAGCGTTTGTTTTTATGCACGGGCGAGACCACGTGGTTGGAGGGAAGGGCCTTTGTACCTGCGTGCTCGCAAGCCGGAAAAGTTATCTCAGCTGTTGGCCCACTGGGCGCTTTGCGGAGGCCGCCTCTCTCCCAGCGAAAATACCTCGCTAGTAAGACAGTTATGAAACTTAAGGCATATTTCCAGGTAGAGGGGGATGCGAGTGTGCCGTGCGGACGTAAATTCTCACAATTAACCTTGAGCCCTGAAGAGAAAGTCAGCTGGGGCAGGGGAGTTAGCGGCACCTTTTGGTCGCCAGGCTGTGACCTCTCCTGTCATCTGGCGCGGCTGAACACGGTAAGAGATAGAGTGGATGAATATGACCATATTCCTCATAAATGTGGAAAAACTCATGAAAAAAATTAGATGCATTGGAAGCACAATAAATATTTTGTAAAAATCATAGGTCAAAAAAGAGGTAAAAGCATACTATTTAGAGTTATGTTGAAAACCACTAGAAAAACTTATATTAAATGTATGTTGAATAAATGAACAAGCAGTCTTAAAAGCAATTAATGTATAAAAACCATCCATTGTGAACTGTTAACCGAAAGGGTTCCCGATTCAGACACCAAGACAGAGTTCTTGGACCTTGAGCAAGAAAGAATTCAGGGCAAGTCCATAAAGTGAAAGCAAGTTTATTACGAGAGTAAAGGAATAAAGAATGGCTACTCCATAGGTGGAACAGTAGCTTGGGCTGCTTGACTGAGAATACTTACAGTTATTTCTTGATTATATGTTAAACAAGGAGTGGATTATTCATGAGTGTTCTAGGAAAGGGGGGGATAATTCCCAGAACTGAGGGTTCTTCCCGCATTTAAACCATATAGGGTAATTTCCTGACATTATCATGGCATTTGTAAACTGTCATGGCACTGATAGGACTGTCTCTTAGCATGCTAATGCATTATAATTAGCATATAAGGAACAGTGAGGATGACCAGAGGTCATTTTCATTGCCGTCTTGGTTTTGGTGGGTTTTGGCCAGCTTTTTTACCAAAACTTCTTTATTCAGCAAGGTCTTCGCGACCTGTATCTTGTGCCAACCTCCTATCTCATCCTGTGACTTAGAATGCCTGCCCTCTTGGGAATACAGCCCAGTAGGTCTCAGTGTTATTTTACCCAGCCCCAATTCAACATGGAGTCACTCTGGTTCAAATGTCTCTGACATATTTCCCTCTTCCCTTTTACAAGGGCACCCCTAATCCAAAGGGTAGTAGAGGAAGGAAGATGCATCTTCTGCAACTTCTTCAGGCTGAATAAGGGCTATGCTATTCCTACCTAACTATTACGGTCTCTTGTATTCAGGATAGAGAGTATCTCAGTCAGAAGGCATCACTATGTTGAGGGCCATTTATAACTCTTGAGGACAAAAGTGGTATCTGGAAGATTAGTAAGTATTCAATTTAAGAAAACATTGAGTAAACTTATTCTGTACTCCCACACAAAGAGTACAAACAGCAATATATTCCGCAACAGTAAAGCAAAATAAGTAAAATTATCCCAAGTAAACTAAATTAGAAGGCTTTCCATGAACTGGGCAACTTTTGGAACCAAGCTGATATGAAGTTGCTGTACATGCTGTATGTTCCATTATGTGCCCAGAATTAGAATATTGATCCAGATTTTTACATTACCCATTTCTGTTATTTTTTTCTGAGCAGCAGCAGAGATCACTGGTTAGTTGACAGTAGTAAATAGGGTGAGTCTAAATTGAAAGGGGAAAAAACCCCTTAAAAATAACTGATGAGTCTGAATCTAATAACAGGTGTACCATAGTTAAAACATAATTTTTTTCTCTCTTCAGCCTCCCATTTTTACTAAAGACAAATCATAGACTGATTTGCTTCCAAAATAATCTTTAGTTTTATAGTTGGCCTGATTATTTGTAAAAAGTGCAGCAAAAATAATTATTTTTCACATAGGTTTTTTGTTTTTGTTGTTGTTGTTGTTGTTTTTAATTGGCTTTGATGAAGCTTTGCTCTATAAGGACTTTTAGATAAGACTTTTTTTAAAGCTCAGACCAGCCATGGGTTGGTGCCATCAAATACCTATAAATTGGGTAAATTCCTCCCCTTCTTTGGTCCCAAGATATTGGGGCTCCTGGGCCTGCCAGAAAGTTGCATTCTTTGCTTATCACACAACAGAGAACCCTGTACGGGGACTGTGTAGACAAGGCAGGAGGCCAGTTTTCCCAAGGGGCTTTTGTTGTCTCTATAAGTCAAATTTGATTCCTTAAAGCAGTTTGTTTATATTTGAAAGCATGCCATTCTGCCCAAAGCCTTGGTAAAATAACTGGTTCCTCCAGTTGTGTCCCGTTGTAAAAGATAACAGATTCTTATTGCCCGTAAGCAACTATGTTGCCATACGAATGCTTACAAATAGTTTACAAATTCTGGAGAAAACAAGTTGAGAGAAATATGCTTCAAATTTCATTTACAAGCTTACACTTTACTCAGTTGCTACAAGTTGTAAATAAAAGAAAAGTCTTACAGGATGAAAATGAGTATTAAAAAAAATTTTCTTGATTGTAAAAAACAAAACAAATGATCAGCGACATTTTAAGCAAAATATTGAAAAGGTTACTTCAGGCTTCTATTAGTTTACTCCATGCAGTTGACTCCTGTTCTGCTTGATAGTCATGAATATTTCAGCTCTTCATGAGAGTCCTGAACATTTTTTCCTCTATTCTAATGTCACAATCTCCAGAGTTATCAGAAACCTGCATTTAAGAACACCTGTCAAAGTTCTACAGTTGATTATAAACCACCTTTTGAAGATGATCAATAGAAGATAACAATTGTCTGTGGATGACAATAAGTCTTAGGATAGTCACTATTAAAGTCACAATTGACTAGGAATTTTGGTTACTTCTGTACATACAAAGACTTTTCATAATTATAATTATTAAAAATATACCCTAAGTCATATAAGAATTACAGGAGTTTCTCATAATTTTGGAACACATACCAATAACATATTATAAAAATACAGCCCAAAGAAAGCCAAATACCATTTTATATTTGGCAGCGCTTTCTGTATGATTTTTATACCAAATAAGCCAAATTTCACCATGGCATTAGTGCATTACTGATGTTAAACCAAATTCTTAATAAAACCTAATAGACAAATCTATCCAGTTTTAATGTCTGACCATAAGATAAGTCTCATAAATCTTTTATAACCCTTTACAAATTTTTGTTAAAGAGTAGATCACTGCTTTAAGAAAAACCTGTTTTGTTTTTATTCCAATGTTCAATTTATGAAAAAACTGAATAATACCCCTTTAACTTAGCCAATATGTTCACACACAGAATTTCTTTTACAATATGCATTTTTCACAAACCTTCCACAACTTGCTCAAACCTTCAGCTTTCTCTTATCTAACTTAAAACAATCCTTTAACCCTCTAAACTAGGCTAAAAAAAAAAAAAACCCAACTTTCCAAGCATTCTTATAATATTTTACGAAAAATACATGTCACTTTGTTTACACATCTTGCGTGTAAAACTGTTTCCCTAGTAGTCCTTATTTCTTTTTCTTTTTCTTTTTTTGAGGCAAGGTCTGGTTCTATTACCCAGACTGGAGTACAGCGGCACAATTTCAGCTCAATGCAACCTCTGCTTCCTGGGCTCAAGCTATCCTCCCACCTCAGCTGCCCAAGTAACTGGGGCTACAGACAGGCACCAGCATACACGGCTAATTTTTGTATTTTTAATAAAGACAGGGTTTAGCCATGTTGCCCAGGCTAGTCTCAAACTCATGAGCTCAAGGGTATCTTTCTACCTCAGCTTCCCAAAGTGCTGGGATTACAGGTATGAGCCACCATGCTTGGTGTATCTCTAGTAATCTTAATTACATGTTACAATGTTAACTCTTAGCAACTTTTACTTTTGGCAAAAAACCTGATAAGCAAGTGATTCTAATTATGTACCAGCTGTGGAGCTTAAACCACCAGACAGAAGTGTAGATAAGGTCTGACTCTTTCTAGCATAGCCAGGAAGCATGGCTAACTAACTGCACATGTCCTCAGGCCTTACTTAGAATCTAATGGCTCCAAGGCAGGTACTAGAACAATTTTTAAAAGTCAAAGAAGCTGTTGACCTTAAAGCATGCAACAACCAGCATAATTTAGACCAAATGTCTTTATTTTACCAATAATCTGTAAAACTGTCTTTATTTCCCAAAGATTAAATCAAATAATCTTTGGGAAATGATATATACACATCACACGTACAACACATTTAAATAAACAGCTCTTTCATATATACACATCACACACACAACACATTTAAATAAACAGACAAAAGGTCCAGTAGTTGTAAGATTTTTTCATTTGCCCGCTTTTAAGTTTCTTTTTAAAGTATGCAGTTTCTAGGGCCTCATAAGCAGGCACAGATGGAAGGCAAAACAGATTCCCCAAAAATGAGGGTCCCATATTTATACCAGATCCTGGATCCCAAAAAGAGGGAATAAGCCCATTTCCCGTGGCAGTCTTATCTCTCAGTGGTGAGTGGGGATATTTCCATATCTTCCAGGGGGCCAAGAACATGCCTCTCTGATCCAAACATGCAAAGAGTTGAGTATCCCTTTCTGCTAATATCTTCCTGGTGAACCTCGAAGGGACTCAAGAGTGGCAAGAAGACAAAAATGGAAAAAAATAGTTTATTCATCTGAGAAGAAAAAAACTTTTTTCCAGAAAAACATGCTCCAAGAAGAGAAGTAACATAAAGGCCTTTTTAAAATTATTATTAAATTTTCTTCTGAACTTCCTTATTGACTTTTTTTTTTTTTATTGCATTTTAGGTTTTGGGTTACATGTGAAGAACATGCAAGATTGTTGCATAGGTACACACGTGGCAGTATGATTTGCTGCCTTCCTCCCCATCACCTGTATCTGGCGTTTCTCCCCATGCT